AAACTCAAGATTATAAAGCTGGCATGGGGTCTGAAACTGCTAATGCAGGTTCTACATCCTATATTTGACGTGTGTATACGTTTTGGAGGAATAAATACTAATGCATCACATTTTATGCACACAAATGTGAGATGTGTGTGTTTTTCCCCACGTTTTGGTAATGGTTCATATATATATCTAGATCTATATCTCAAATATCTGCAAAACACCAAATTATTGGACGGTAGTCGGTAGGGAGGCATGCCCCCATCCATATTTTGGCGATTTTGTAGTTTCCTTCGTTAAAGTCAGTAGTAGGGGCAGGGGGGGGTTCAGCCCCCCCCCCCTGGATTTTACCATAATTTGATGTTTTGCAGTTAGGTTGCATCCCTGTTCTTTGTGTTGCCTATTTGGTTGGTCATCAAGACTTCTGGATTTCTTCTCTGGATGTAAACAAATGGATCGTGGACTTTAACGAACAGAACTACAAGATCACCCATATTCTTAATTTCTCCAAACGTTCTGGAAAATAAAGCTGGGCACTATTTCTCTGAACGTACAGGAAAATAAAGCTGGGCACTACGTGACTATTTCTCTGAACGTTCCGGAAAATAAAGCTGGGCACTATTTCTCCGAACAATCTGAAATCACTTTCCCGCAAATTTAGGATATATAGATGTAGATCTATAATTATGTTATAGGCCTACCAAAGATTGTTCGTATACAATATGGTTCAATCGGTCCTAAGAATGTCCGCAGTAAATATTTATCTAAAAAAAATGCTACAGTTCCAAACAGTTTTTAGCTACAGATATAACGTGTTGCCTATGAAGGGTGCTGCTCTTAAACTTAATATGTGTTGTCTTCACTCGTGTGCTGTCTAGATCTAGATCTATGGAGGGTTATTGATAACGACACAACTAGCATCTGTGTTTGTCGCGGCCTCAACCAATCAATCGTGGCTCAATTTTTGGGGGCATTTTTTGGTCCCCGAATTGGAGAATAAAAGTCAAATAAAAAATTTAAAAAACCAAACCTCTTTACTTTGGAAGAAAGTTCACTTAGCTTCACTTCGTCTCTTTCTCACTTGTTTTCACCACGTTGATTTGTTGAATGTATACGTTGCAGTTACATGCGATTTGTATTGCTTTACCTCTTTTATTTTTCCCTCTTTGTGGTGTTTTATTTTGTTGGTGTATTTAATTTTTTTTTCGTGTTATTGTTCTGATGTGTTGTTTTTCTATTAATTTTTTTGTTGTTGGGGAAAGGGGGGGGGGATGTTGCATAGTGTAACGTCATTTAATTTGATGTTCCTACCTTCATTAGATTCTAAATATACAAATATGTATATATAGAGATTTAAATGTGTTATGTTATAGAGCATTCCACCAAAACCGATTACATACATGTTCTGACACTGGCAGACCCCCTTGTGTGTGATTCTATTATTTACATATGTCATATCCTGTATTTTTAAAAAAATTACGGACATTTAGGGTTAAAACAGCCAATCTTCTTCGGACAGGTGGGCACACGTCCTTATTTGTTAATTTTTGTGGTTGTTTATGGGCTGTTCTAATTTTGATTTCATTCTGTTGTGAAACCTTACTTTTTGACGTTTTTTACACTCATCTAAAAATCTCTAGACTAGCTCTTGAAAATTGGAATAGAATCTAGATCTAGACCCAAAAATTTGCTCCTTCCTAGACCTCGCAGAATGGCAGAATGAAAGTTGGCGCTGAACTCTCGCAAATAGGCAAAAAATCACGGAACCGGAAACCGTTCGGAGAAATAAAGGTCGACACTATTTCTCCGAACGTTCGGAGAAATAGTCACTTCGTATTCTTATAAGGTCAGGGGGTCAATCCGCCCTGAAACCCCCCTACTCTTGGGGCCACAATTGCGGGGTGGGAACTACCGAAAAGTGCCCCTAGATCTAGGCACTCCTGTACAATTGCGGTCCCGTTTGGGGATACTGGAATCTAGTTTTGACCCCACCAACAAAATTACTTCTGGTTCTAAACTATTACTTTTTGATGCGCTTGCCGATATGCAAACCAAATTGCAAAACATCAAATTATGGTCAATTTCAGGGTTAAAAACAAGTGAAATTTTACTGCTCATTTTGTAGACTAGATCTAGATCTAAATCTACTGATAAAACATTGATACCGATTTTCGGTTTTTTGGCACACCCCCCTGCTCCTTATTCCATATCGAAGTGGCTATTCGGACTCGGGTCCGACCAGCCACTGGAGGCTATTCGGACTCAAATTCCAGTGCGCTTGCACTATCACTGGTTGTACCGTAAGCGAGGTCTATACTTGAGTCGGAATAGTCT